CTGGGTGTTGCTTGGTGTGGAAAGGATGCTGCTGATTTATAAAATGATTTAGATCATTTAGTGAGTTGAGCAAATAAATGGCAGATGGGTTTTAATTATAATAAATGCAAGATAATGCACGTGTTATAATAATTTGGATGGGAATAACCTTAACAGTGTTATGAAAGAAAGGGATCTTTGTGTAATAGTCTATCAGTCTTTAAAGCCATCCAAGCAGTGTGCTGTTGCTAGTGGTAAGGCAAATTGGATTTTAGGTTGTATCTACAGAAATATTGAACGCAAGTCTAAAGAGGTTATAATTTGATTGTACAGGTGCCGGTTAGGCCAAATGTGGAATATTGTGTTCAGTCTTGGTCTCCTTACCTTATGAAAGACACTGGATTGTTGGAAAGGGTTACTAGAATGGTGCCTAGGATGGAGGGGTTGTCATATGAGGAGCGGCTGAAATATCTCAAATTGTTTTCTCTTGAAAAAAGAAGAGTTAGAAGGGATCTGATTGTGGTGTCTAAGATTGTAAAGAGAATTGATAGTGTTGATGGATCATCTTTGTTTATATTTAACAGTGAGAATAGTAGGACTAGGGGACAAAAATATAAGTTTTGCTAAGGTAGGAATCATCTTTAGCTAAGACAATTTTTCTAACAGGGTGGTTTGCCTTTGGAATGGGTTGCCTTCGGATGCTGTAGAGGCAGTAAATTTAAGTGAGCTTTAGAAAAAGCTTGATGAGAATATGAATGACGAGGGCTGGCTTTAAGATTTTTGTTAAATCTTTTTAATTTAGTCTAGAGGATGGCACAACTAAATGGACCAATAGGTCCCTTCTTGTCCTGAAACTTTATGTTATGTTAAAAGTCGGAGGATGTCACATCTCAGACTCGTTGTTCTAAGATCTATACCAACAGACTGTTATTTATGTGAACACGAAGGACGACACCTTATTTATATCCTAGGTACAATTTCTCCATTTAGTTTTAACGATAAATTTTCTTTTTATTTCTCTTTCACTTTTTACAACAATTGGTTCAACCTAACACTTCGAAACATGTTTTGCACGTTTTCTAACTGTTACATTTTTGAACAATATTCGAATGTGCTCTGTATATACCCGAGAAGAGTCTAGGCCTGAAATGTTGTGTCAAATTAAACTTTTCCTAGATTTTATTACCATTGTATCTAGTGTTGTGTTTTTCTTTCTTAAACTTTGTCTTAGACCTTCTTTGTGTGTTTTTCTTTATGTATTTTGTTTGTTTTTGTGTCTGTGTACAATGTCTTTGTTACGTGGCTTGCTTACTCTAAAAGTTGTAACTTGTAATAAAATAATCTTAATTTCAATCAAGCATAATCACCTGGTTATATATTAACACAGATAAATTCTCCTTTTATTACTTCAGATAGGTGATGGCATGAAACTACATATGTAGCATGAATATAAGTCGTGTAATTCACGTGATGTAATTTATTAAACTATCATGTGACTATCTCCAGTTTAAACACATATAAAGCTAGCCAGTGAGTTTTCTAGGTAGTTGGATTGACTGGCGGTTTCATTTTGTATTGATTTTTAAAGGGGAAGCCGATATGGTAGGTTTTTTATAACATGTCTTTTAAACTAATTGTAATCGTATTTTTATTTATGTTAAAACTAAATACAACGATGCAGTAAGATATATTTAACAACAGTTTAGATTATTGTAATCTCCCATAAAATGTAAAGGTAGATTTTTGAACACTAGTTTCTATATAACCATCGTTAAAAACGGATTCGGGACAGTTAAACTGTCCAGTTAAGCCTGGCATTCATGTTTTTATTATCAAATGATTTCATGATGACCACTGTCCCTCGTGGTTCACGGTAAACTTGAGAGCTTATAAAGCTAAAATTCGGGCTTTAATCAGTGTAGTGCGCACAGTGCAGTTAGCCCATTGTTCAGATTTACCCTTAACAACAAATATGAATTTATAACTAATATTTAAATGGTTATTTTAGGTTATGCAACATACTCCACCTTGTACGAGAAGTAGTCAATCGCAATTCTAAGCAGTCTTCTTCTTCATCTGAATTCGGTCCATGTTTTGAATCAGTGAGGCTTAGGTTCAGCGTTGATCTCTTCCTATTCTAAGTAGATAAAAGTTGTTTAGCTGGGTTCGAAGCTGCGCGATTCCACAAAATATTACTCCTCTATTTAAGCTGTGGATGTGTTATACGTGTGTCATATAACCCCTAGGATGGGTGGTAAGTTGGTTGCACCTTACCACCCCCCCTAAGGGTTGTCTGACAGGCTGTCTTCCCTCTTGTGAATGGGGGCGGTGGCAGATAGCCATAGTATTTGTTATACCTGGTTATAGCGCAAGTTTCGGTTAACTAAAGTGATGCTAGTTATAGTGTAGATTTTGGTTAACTAAAGTGATGCTGGTTATAGTGCAGATTTTGGTTAATTAGTGTGATCCTGGTTATAGCGCAGATTTTGGTTAACTAATGTTATTCTGGTTATAGCGCAGATTTTGTTTAACTCATGTGATTCTGGCTATATCGCAGATTTTGGTTAACTAATGTCTTTGTTAACCTGAAGATGATCTAAAAAGGTCGAAACGTTGTTCTTGTACTTTATTTTATTTAATGTTTTAATACTCATACCAGCCGTCTCTGCTATACTTAATGTGATTCTGGTTATAGTGCAGTTTTCGGTTAACTAATGTAATCCTGTTTATAACGCATATTTCGGTTAAATGATGTGACCTCCTGTGTTGTTTATTGCAACTCAAAGTTTTTTATTTCGACAATATACAACTCAACTTTTTTATTATGAGAAGAGACAACTCAAAATTTTTATTACGACTTTGTACAATTCAAAGATTTTTATTACGACATTGTAGAACTCAAAGTTTTTTATCATACAACTCGCATGTTTTTCTAACGACTATGTGTAGATAGATGGATTATAAAACGTCCTGTGTAACACAAACGCATAATCGTGTAAACTTTACCACGCAGTCGCACTCAACTGCCCAATAAACTGGAATGGTCTTATCATAAAAGTTTTCTTTCACCACCATCTAATTCCTGAAGAATAAAAAACAAACACGCTGCTTTAATTAATAATTCAACTTGTAAGAACATTATATAACTCTTAATGGTTGGAGACGGCTTGAATGGGTAATGATATAAAACTTTAATATAAGTTTAACATTACAGTAAATGTACAACGTTTCGACAAGGTTTTGTCATCATAATTCAACTAGTAAGAACTCTATAGGATAAGAATAGCCTCAACTCTCCCGTATATTGAACGCTATCGACCAATAAAAGGAAGTGTAAATTAGATATTTCATTTCTTTTGTACAGCACCAGCCTGACTTGTATGTTATTAATGGCTATAAAACCAGCACTATCGATAAGTGCAGGTTCTCTAGGTTCTACCTTAATAACATCTAGTGATTTGCCTTCCCCAACCATCATCAAATGCTCCTGTTTGATATTATAGGTAATCAGAAAACGAAAAACACCTGATAAATTTACATTCAATGAAAGTTTAGAATCTCTATTATTGTATTCATCTATGAGTCCATTTCAATAAATAGAGGCTTGTTTTTTATTTCTCTGCTAGAATCTAATGATCAAATACGGACCGACCTCGTACTGGAGAAGAAATGTTGAATATAATTCCAAATTTACTATGTATATCTATGCGAAATGGGCAAGCTTTTAATAAAACGTACAAGTCTATTGTACATAAGAAATCAGATGTGTTGCAAAAGTATTTGTACTTCACATAAGTCTGTAACTGATGGCGCCAATGCGACTCAGACTCTGACAAGTCATAGTGCAAGGTGATGCACATATGAAGAGTAAAAACACCTTTGTACATTTTACAGTGAATTTGCATAACCTTTAGAACCTCCGAAACGCATATCTATACATATTGTATTATTCCTGTGTATTATATCTGGCATTTACTCTCTTCTACCACTAACTGTCGTTAAACCAAAAATGTAGGGTAAAATAAATAACTGATAACTCTGACATCGAATACATGATATCATGTTAAATGACACTCTGTAATAGGCCATGGCTTGCGCTCTTTGGCCCACATCCGTGCACACATGGTTAATATAAGGTGCTGATGTTTTAATTTTTAATTATTCCTTATAAATAAACTTAGTTATTTTTTCTTTTAGAGTAAAGCTACAATGGGCTGTCTGCTGTGACTACCGCGTGTAATCGAAGCCCGGATTTTAGTGTTGTAAGTCCGTAGACTTAATGTTGTCTTACAGGGAGGACGACTTATAATCATAGGAAATGAATAAGAATTTAACATTGTATCCTGTGACGTTAAAAAATCCACCTCCTGAATTTTTTAACTATTTGTTTGACCAATCCAGTTTTGCCTTATGCCTCATCTGTTTCTTCACAAACTTACTGAAGTTTAAATATTTTACATTTTTCACTGACACAAGGGTAGCCAATGGATTTTCAGGTTACATCTCAAGTTGATCAAATAAGTTCGCATTTAACTAAAAAAAAAAGAGAAACCTAATCACTGCTGCTTTTGCAACTGATAAAAATTACGTTTTATTATATTAACAGTTTTCTGCTTTCACATACTAATTTTAGACTCATATTTTCCTTCCCAGGTCTAAAATTACATATTTGATGACAATTTAAAAAAATTACTTTTTAAATTCATAACATAGCTAAATATACATGGACATTCTCTATGTTTAATAAATGTTCTTTAATTGCGAGCTTTCTGCCATCTTTCTGTACTCCTCAACAGGCAGCAATGTATTGATGTAATATACAGGCATAGCATACTTTTTCTAAATTTTCTTTTTGATATAGCAATTTGCTCAGAATTTTCGTATATTTTAGGAT